TTTTCCTTGATTTAAAAAACTTTTCTTGGCAGGAAGCAGAAATATAGCAAACCATTTTCAGAAATTCTAAAAGTTCTCTTTAATCTTAACCTGCACCATAAAGGCTTAAAACATATCTTTTTCCCTCATTCCCATCAAGTCCATTCCAACTCAGACAACACTATGAGACAGGCCAGAACTGTCCCTGCCCGTCGCCTTCTGTGGATTTCGAGACTACATATCCTTGTGCGAGGGGAACGCTTCATCTTTTTCCTGCAGAGCGGCTGGTGGTTTTGAACTGCTGACCTTGTAGTAAGGAGCCCTGGTGGTGTAGGGGTTATGCTTGGTCTGTGACCTGCAGGAGTCAGCATCGACTCCAGGGCAGTGAAAGACCTTGTGGTTGCAGGCCAACAGGTAACCCACTATGTAGCCAAGAACTCTATGTTGAAACACACACACACACACACGCACACGCACACGCACACGCACACGCACACGCACACACAACCTTTCTTATAGCGCCCTTGATTCAACGTCAGTTGGCTTAAGAATAAAATTTCTGTGTCTCCAAAAACTTCAGTTTTTATTTAAAAAGAAAATAACTGTTCTAGATCAATGGGAAAAAAAAGTGTATTTGCTACTTAGGATATTCATTATAATTTAGTTTTCTCCCTGGGTGCCGTAGTAACTATGTGGAAGACAAGGTAGTATAGGGATGCTTACATTTCAGCCTCTATTAGCATATCCCCATTTTAGGAATGAAAGTAGTTTACCAATAGTAAGATTAGATGCTAGAGTTACATTATTTCAGAAAGATCACTACTGATCAATGACATGCATCAAACACTGTAACCAATTATTGTCTGCTTTTATATGCTGTAACCTTGGCTTGCTCTTGATTTTCTACTGAATGGATTTTATGAGCCACTGTTAATAAAGTCTGAGTCTATAAACACTAAAAGAGAGAGAGAGATTGAGCCCGACACCTCCCCCACCCCTCAACAGTGTTTCCACCATCTATGTTCAGTGGTCTAATTATAGACCTATTGTGAAATGCAGTTCAGTAAGTAGTGTTAATGCTAATGTTGAGACTAGTTTGAGATTGAGCTTTTCTAGGGGAAGAAAGATTATAAAGCTGGACATAAACAGCTCTTGCCTTCGGTGAGATTTAGAGAACTTTCTTTACCTACAGGCCTAACTAGCCAGCTATCTGATAATAAGAAATCTATTTGCCAAATGCACACAGCTAGAACGTGCCATCATCAGTCTGTTTGAAGAAAATGAAATCTTGTTATTTTTGGAGGTCGGGGAAGATTAGGGGATAACACTTTGACTTTAAGGAAGTGGTGATAACCTACTACAAACATCGTGAGATAGTCCTGCTGGCCCTTCACCCACATCAGTCTCTGCATAGTTGAACTTTCACATCCAAGCTAACTGCCGAGTGCCAGTGGAGCAGAATTCGCGTTCCAGTTCAAAAGAAAAGGGACTATTCCTTTTTGAAAACGCAGTGACGCACAGGTTCACTGATTTTGTGTCTGAACACCCAATTTCTCTTTTGAGCTAGGATTGTCCAAGTGAAGGCAGAAAAGAGCAGATAATACTAGGGGGAACCAAAAGAGGGCACCGTGGACCATTAAAGTCTTTTCCCATGACTGGGGGGGAGGGGGGAGGAAAAAAGAGACAAACAAACAAGGACAACACACCATCCTAATCCACAAAGGAAGTATATGTCTTGACCCTGGCATTTTATACTCTACAAGGTGAGCAAATTCTGAAACCACACATTAGGAAGAGCATCAACTTGGTTATTTTCCGTGGGATTGGCTTCTACATTCAACCCTTATATTCTTGCAACATTAACCTTTACAACAAGTCTTTAGCATTCTTTTTTTCCCCCTGACACTCGGGGCTTAATATTTTATAGGACACTGGGAAATTTCCTCCTAGATCTAGGCGGTCACCAAATAGCACAAGAAATAGATAACAATTAACAACTTAATGATATCTTACCTCTAAGGCAGCAGTTCTCAACCTGTGGGCCCCTTTGGGGGTCCAACAGCCCTTTCATGAGAGTCGCCCAATTCATAACAGTAGCAAAATTACAGTTATGAAGTAGCAGCGAAAATAATTTTATGGTTGAGGGGGTCATCACCACATGAGGGTCTGGATGAAAGGGTGGCTGCAGGAGGAAGGTTGAGAACACTGATCTAAGGGGTATCAATCATGATAGATAGAAGAACCAGGGAACTGTGGCACTGAGGGGGCTGAGCACATGGCAGACACAGTTAAATGCATTTGAGATATGTGGGAAATGGTTTAAAGCAGCGTTTTATGCCAACTTTTAGTAACAGAAGCCTAACAAATGCGTTTCCTTTGAAGTGTGTGTGTCTGGGGGAGGGGGCCATCGTAACACTATTCATGAATGTATTTGCCTTATTCTTGAATATGTTTTAAAACTGACTGGACTGTCTAAATAGTAGGTAAGTGGTTGGGGGTGGGGTGGGGGGTGTTACACTCTCCCCTTAGATCATCCCAGATTTTTTTCAAGGTGATGGGGAAGAAGAGTTGTCAGCTTTTAAGTGCAATTGTCAATCCGGTCTCAGAAATTCACTGGATAGAATAAGTGACCCTTGAAACACCGCTTGTAGCCGTTGAATCGGGAAGGTCGGGGATGAGAGGTTCACTTCTGAGAGAATGCCGCAGAGCAGATTTCCATCACTGTAAAAATCTCACCACCACATGCAATGAAGGCTGCTGTGGGGGAAACTGAGTGGGGGAAATGGGTGATTTCATAACCCTTTCAAGGTGAACAGTCAAAATCGTTCTACTCAAATGCAACGGAATGGGCCCTCGCTTAAAAGGCAACTTTGGGCAAATTAAAAAAAAAAACTCAACACCCCACCCCCCCTTTTCCCTCTGGCTCTAGAGGAAAGACTCACTACGTAGTGCGCGAAACCTTGCACAAGCCTCTGCTTGCTTCTTCCCCCCGGAAAACAACGCAGAGGAAGGAACCAGTTCATAAACATCCCAACTCGTTCCTGCCAAGGTACATCTGAGAAGCCGAAACCGGGGTTGCTTGGATTTGGGTGGCTCACGGACGTGGCTCGAATGAAAACCTAAACCAGTCACTTGGTGGCTATGAGCCTCAGTTTCCCCGCCGTGTAGCAGGTCCTGGTCTCTGGTCTTAAAAGACTGGAGGCCCAGATTCCCCAAAAGGGATAGTCATTGTAGTCCCTGAGAATCCGGTGCCTCCAGGGGCTGCCTCGTCGGCCCAACCACCTGTTACCCTCCGGGCCTGCGTTTTCCAGAAACCCAATTATGAAACGAGCCGCCGCCTCAGCTCCGCGGCTGGAGTTTGGAAAGTTGCGTGGGTGAGGGGGTGGTGGTGGTGGCGCTGGGGCGGTGGTCACCGAGGGAGGACAGGGAGCTTCAGGTCGCCCCTGGGATGGGACGTGGGCGCCGCTGTTTACCCGCCGGGCCGCCTTCAACCCACTTCCCTTTTCCTCCCCGGGCGGAGGAGATGGTTAAAGATTACACGGCGGCCGCGGGCACTTCAAAGGGCGGCTCGGGCAGCCAAAGGTGAAGATAACGTTCTGGCAGCTCCAATCAGGGGTTGCGGTTGCCACATTTTAATTACTTTGTTAAAAGAAAGCAAGGGGAGAGAGACGCCTGGCAGGAACCAAGGAAAGGAAAGGAAGAAGGAATGAAAAGGAAAAGGAAGAAAAGCCAAAGGTGGCATCCGTCCATGGGGGCCAGGGGTGCGGAGCAAGTTCCTTTGGAGGTGGGCAAGGTGGGGGTTCTCCTGGGGGAAAGGGACCACAAGGCTCCTCCTGGATCCCGGCTGGACGCCCGAGGGAGGCTGAGGTGAGGACCAGCCAGGCACCTTGACCTTGAATTCCCGGCTCCAAGAGCATGAATTCCAGGAGCACCCAGCTGTCTACAACTAGGAGGAAGTGGCCCTGCAACGTGCCCTGCGCTCGTGCTTTCCGGTCGCTCGTGCAGCGGTGTCTCCCCGCAATCCCGGGAAGGTGCGGGCGCGCTCCCCTCGCCGACAGACGCCTTGCCCCGCGCACGTCTTCCGGCGATGCCCTTCGCCAGT